AATTGTATTTTGCCTTTATTCACAGTTATTTATCTTACTGTAATATTGTGTGGCCTAGTACTGGCTATACAAAACTTAAGAAAATCTACAACAAAAAAAACATGTGCAGAGTAGTGTTTGGAGGCTATAGAAATACTCCTTGCAAACCACTTTTACGTGCACTCGGTGCTTTAAATGTGTATAAACTTAATTTACACCAAGTTTTATTGTTAATGTTTAAAACAAAAATGGGATTGTCCCCAATAAGTTAAATTAACCTCCTATTCAATTAAATATCGCGGACCTTATCTGTGGAAAAAATTCCCAGAGATTGTCAACAAAAACAACACTACATTAGAGCAATTTAAGAATGAATCAAAACAATTATTACTATTCAGGGATCTTAATTCATCTGACTTCAAATCATTCTTTTTAAGTAAGTTTAATCAAATAAAAACAAATTTATTATATCAATGAAACTTAAGTAATGATGTAAAAAATTCATCATGTTATAATGTTAATAATAAAATTTTATATTTTTTAGTCAAAACTTTTTGTTTAAATGATTTTTAAACATTTTAGCGGTTGTTTGTAGCGGTTCTTAATTCATCTGACTTCAAATCTTTCTTTTTAAGTAAGTTTAATCAAATAAAAACAAATTTATTTATATCAATGAAATTTAAGTAATGATGTAAAAAATTCATCATGTGATAATGTTAATAATGAAACTTTATATTTTTTAGTCAAAACTTTTTGTTTAAATGATGTTTAAACATTTTAGCATTTCAACACTTATTTGCTATTTTGAATTTCTAAATTTTCTCAGTTATTTTCTGTTTTAATTCTGGTTTATGTTTTATATATTTATATTATATATATTTGTATGTTACGGTTATATAGAGTTTTTTTTTTTTATATATGGGGCTCGGCGATAAGGCAAACTGTGCCTTCTTCTTGCTCCAGCCAATAGCTTTGATATATGTATATGCAATGTAAACATTCTTTAAAGGCGAAATAAATTACACCAAAAAAAACAAAAAACCTCCTCTGATTCTGATCAAAGTCCATCAAGATGGAAAATTGTTAAAATAACATCAAGATGGAAAATTGCTAAAATAACTCCCAAATTCAAAAAAGGTCATTGTACTGATTGTACCTGGAAATTAATAAGTTTTGCTCTTCATCAATGATACGCCGAAATTATTTAAAAATCCTTGAAGACGTTTTGTTGATGATAGCCAGTAAGTTGCCAAAATAAAATCAATTAAGAACTAGGTATGTATTTAGGAAGATATCGGTATCGCAAGTTCATATGAAATATAATCTGTGCTTGCTCAAGAATTTGGTGCAGAAAATTTTTATCGGAAGAAGTTATATGGTTCAATGAAGCTAATAGAAAATATAGCATCTCCAAACCAAAGGCAAGACGTCATTTTAAAGTATTAAGAAATGTCAAAGTTGGAAGACCTAAAGATATTAATGAAGGATATTAATGGAGAAGGAGTTTGTTATACATATTCTCAATTTAGAATCGAGTTTTTTTTGGGCTAATTGTAACTGATTAAAGAACATTTGCTTACTGACAGAATATAAATTTTCGCTTCAATAGAGAGAATTGCAGGGAAGAAGTAGTACTACAACTCTATGAAAAATAAGTTTATGTTTGCGCATGCCAGATGCAACATCATTGGCTAGAAAATTAATGTTAACAAACCAAAATAATTGCTCAGAAAGATAAAGATTAAGTACAATTACAAGTGGTTAAATAAGTTTTACACTTAGCGGTGTATTTTACATAAGCGCTGCAGGTGATTTAATAACTCTTATGGTAATATTTAAACGGGTAAGGATAAACAATTGCTCAAATAAAGGAGCACCAGTGGCCTATAAAATGATAAATAACGTCTAAACTTTTTTTTGAACGGATGCAACATTTTATTAGTACATATAAGTACACAATAGGGTGGGCTAAAACCTAAAAATAAAAAACGTCCCCTCTAATTACTTAGCTTTGATGCAACATGAAGATTTATAATAAAAAAACATGCGGTTATCAGTTTTTAGCCAACTCACTTGAGGTTATATAAAAGATCTAAAAAATTAAAAATTTTTTTTGGTAAAAACCCTTAAATTCTTTGGTAAAAGTTCTTTACAATATGTTTAATATTGTTCTATGCGTAAAAGTTTTACACTAAAAAATGCAACATCTTTTATTCTATGACATTTTCTTGTAACATCTAAATCTAAAAAGTCATTTACAGAAAACTAAAAACAAATAAATTTTCTTCAAATAATTAATTAAAGCAAGTACAACAATATGTTAACTTTAATATCAGAAAAGTTTTATTGTGCATTGGTATTGGTATTGAGATGGTATTGTTAAGGTATTGTTGGTATTGGTATTGAGATGATTGGTATTGTTGGTATTGGTATTGAGATGGTATTATTGATTGGTATTGGTATTGAGATGGTATTGTATGGGCTGTTGCTTCTGATGCGTTAAAAGTATTTTATCTAAATGACATGGCATGCTTAAAGTAAAGTCCTAAATATAAATCTGTTTTCTATTAAGTATGAGTTAACATTGGAACCTTAAAACTAAGTTTTCAGTGTTTAGTTTAAAGAGTTAAGATCTAATAGTTGTTATTTAAGTCCTTTTCTTGGTTAAAACTAAATATCGGAAACCCAATTAGACAAACTTCTGTTTCAGAACTATTAATGATTGATAATCAAATAAGTTAGTATGGACATTACTTGTTGGTGTTTGGTTATGCAATTAATTTCATAGTGATATTTGCGCTCCTACACCTGTGATTGAAGTCTCTTTATACACTTTTATGCTGGAAATTAAAAGAAACACAGTAATTAATAAAATAAAGATGATGTTAAAAAAAAAAAAGTTGATTGTTTTTTTATTTGTAGAGAAGATTAAGAGGAATTAATAGTACAATATGTTCTAACTATTATTGTTCTTTAATTGAATTCTCAGGTACGACTTAGGCTTTCTAAATTAGGTTGCGCTATTTTCGACCCCTTCCCTTGTCACAACATTGTAACACTTAAGTAACTAGTCCTGTGTGTGTTGTCTCAAACCACTAACCCTCTCCCCCTTAAAGCATGACGTAATTTATGGATGACCCCGTAGGCAACTTAGAAAACAGTTTCTTTCGTCGTACCATCTTGAAGGGTTTTAAAGATTTTTTTTTGTTACTTAGGTGCCCTAACGGTCTTGTCAGAGAGCGCCGCAGAAGTGCATTTAACCAGGAAATTCACGCCTCCTTCCTTACCGTGACGCGAAAGTATGTCCAGAGTATGTTTCGAACCTGGATTTAATTATTTAATTTGTTTTATGTAGAAAAATAATATTTTTTTAATTTTTTTTTTTGTAATAAATAACAGCAATGTTTATACAAGTTTTGAACAATACATTATATTTAAAAAATACTGTTTTATACTGTTTTTTTCATAAAGAGTACGTCTTGAGCAACCTTACCATAACTAACTTTTTATTGTTGCACAAACGCAGAATTTAGAAACTTTCAAGCGTCTGCCAATTTTTTATTTGCTTTAGTTAGGGAAAATGGCATAAGATTTTCAGTCATTGGTTGAAAAAATATAATCTTTTAAAAACTTTGTATTAATTAAAAATTGTTCAACGTCACTTTGCCACTGTCTTTGACTTTTATTTTGAAACCTATATGATAAGCTTTTTTTTTTATATATTAGGGTGCTCCAAGAAGACCATTCGGCCTTATTGGAGCACCTTAAGTCACCGCACAGGAGCATTTATCAAAAAAGTTCACACCTCCTTCCTTACTAATGTTTCTTATTGAGTTAGAATTGGCGTCGAATCACGAATATTTGGGTTCCGAGCCGTCTTTATTATTAAGGCAAGTTTCTCCGTTTTGGATTGTTCATAAATTACACAACACCAAATATTTAAAAAAAATGGAAGAAGGAGGTTTATGCGGGGCAATTTTCATTAAAGTTAAACTGCTGTTTTGGAGACTCAGCAGGGAAAAACTTGTGTTTTTTTTGTGTTTAAATTTAGCGTTGCGTACTTTACGGATCATCACTTTCTTCCATTTTTTCAGCAAAAAATCAAAAATAATTTGACTAGTGGTTTTAAAATATTTTTTTATTTACAGCTGCATTATATACCCATATAGTAAATTTGTTATTAGACGAAAACAACAGATGTAATTTAATTGAACATTAAACTATTTAGCATTTTCAGTTATAACTATGGTAAAATTTAATTCAAAGTACGAGCTGCTTGAATTTCTTTCTTATATTACTTGTTTCTTTTGCGACAATTTTATTAAATTTAGTTTAAGAATCTATTAAAACTATATCAATACAGTAATGTAAAAGACAAGATTAGGCGCCTCTTTCAAATTAAAGCTACAATTTTTTTTTTTATGTTTTAGAATTAATGTCTTACTATTATATTGAAGAAAAAAATAAAATTCCAATTTTTTTTAAAGCACTACTTCCTCAATTTTGCTTCCTAACTAACCCCCTCAGGTTAGCGACCATCTTGAACTAGCGCCCTTCTAACAATCGAAGTGTTTATAAATAAAATTGTAAATGATTGTACAAGCGCCTCCGGAGATTATACGGAAATATATCAATTACGGAATTTGTTACTTGTACTGCTAATAATTGTTTAATTTCTAATTTTGAATAACATTTTTTTTATTCACTTCAACGTATTCACGAAAAACATTGTATTGAAAAATTTATACGGAATTAAGAATATGTTTTACAAGCAGCGTTTCTATTTAACATATATCTAGATGATATATTGATAAAAATATATAAAACGATATATTTATACTCATATTTTATCAAATTGCTCTAAATAAAATTCTGCACATATATTTATTTCATTTTGTCTTCAACCCTAAATAACAGTGGCGTAATTTTGCTAAACGCCATCCGAATCAAAAGCAAAATATTAAAAAAGGTTGTTTTTTATCTCTCAAACTCATCACCAAATTTATATTTAAGGGTGAGTTTACATGATTTGAAAGTTTTACAAAAACAATGGAAGATTATTAAGGTCTGAGACCGGGAAAATGGTGCCTGTTAGAATAAGTCCTTCTAATCGAGAAGTAGTGCCCTATAAGAAAGGGAATCGATTTCTGGCGAACGATACTTTTATTGTTGAGTCTTAAAAACATCAAAAAGGTATATTTTTTAGTTTCATTTCTTTCAATATGTAGTTGTCATTATTTATTTTCGTAATTTTTTTCAAGAAAAAATATTATAAAGATGAAAGATATGTTTACTAATGGACACAACATAAAGCAATTGGTATATAGTCACTGAAAATCTTTGTTAATAATTGATTGTTCTACGATATTCTTTCAGGTGAATATATCAATTGTGTATAATCTTTTATTTATAGTTTGATTCGTTTCTAAGTTCAATTTATGATTGAATTGTTATTTTCTAAATAGAAACTTTATTTGTTTCTAAGTATTTTTATTTTAAAAAACTACTTACTTTATAAACTTCATGGGAACAATGTATAATTAAACAAGAATATATAAAATGGTTTTACCTTAATTGTTATTAAAGTTGTATAGTTAGAGATGTCTTTTTAAAAATATATATTTATGCTTTATCTAACTATATATTACTTAAAATTTTAAACTTTAATGAAGTTTTTATAAAAAAAATTTAATTGGCATGGGACATATTATATCTAAGAAAAAGAAACAAAATCGTGAGTTTTTATAAATACAAATTTTTTCTCTCTCAATTATATTAATGAGATCAGTAATCCTGTACTTAAAGTTGTCATTGTTTTGGTTTTCATTTCTTGATAAACAGATACAAATTCCTGGTGTCCATTGAGTTACCATAACTAAAATTACTTAATCATATAGTAAAAATAATTTAAGAAAAGTTAGTTTTTTTTCATATTGCAATTTTTATTATAATAAAAATAACTTTGAAGCAAAGATTACTTTTTCAATAGAAGCATTGCTTTTATTGAAGAATTTTTTATTGATTTTTATTTTCATTTTATGTGATTTATAAAGCTCATCAAAAATATAAAAATGAATGTACAGTTACTCAAAAATAAACAGTGTAAGACAACTATTCTCCAAGTTTTTGTCATGACACTAGCACCATCAGTCATTATTACTACAAACTTGAAATATAATTCAAATTGAGATGACCTTGATCTATAGGAAATTATCTTTTCAGTTTTAATGCTTGCGTATACACAAATCTTTTTTCAAGTAATTTGGTAGATTTAGGCAAAGTGTAACCATCAAACTTGAATATTCCTTAAGTAGCAAATGGCTTCAGTGTGCACTTTGATGTTTTATTTTTTTTTATTACAAGCTACAAACTAAAATAAGACAATCTTTTTAGACATTAAGAAAAGTTCATCATTTATTATCATGTGTGATGTTTTTTTAATATTTTTGTTTTATAATGGTCTTCATAAAATTTGCAACAAAAAATCTTTATTTCTAATATATAATCAGTATTATTTTTCTATAACTATCAAATAATCTTGTTTGTTTTTTGTTCAAAATTTACATGCTAAGTAACATATATAAAAAATATTTCTAAAATTCAAAAAATTTAGTTAATAGAAGAAAATGTTTACAGAAAGTTTAAAATTTTTGTAATTAATTTTTTCAAAAACTGTTTTGTAAACAGGAATTTACATTACAGTATTTTTGTAAAAAGTTAATTGAAAAAAGAGTTCTTTAGAATACTGATAACCTTTTTTTTTTGTAAACATAGGATATATTTTTTTAAAACACGTAGGAACAGTTTTTATAAGAGACCAATTTAATTCAAAATTTGTTTTTTTCTTTTTGATCCCATATAAATTTTGACAACATAGTGTCTTATGAGTGTTTTTTATGTTAAATAAAATATTTGTGATGAGCACTATGTTTTTTTTATTTACCCTAGGTTAAGCTGAGCTAACTCAAAACCGACTAGCTCAATATTTTAAAATTGGTTTTTTTTAATTTTTAATAATCTTTATAAACACATGTAATTAAATTAAAAATATTAGAAGTTTTATGATTTAGTCTATTGATAAATTCAATAGAAATTTGTTTTAGAACTAGAGGACTGTCGTTTGAATTATAAAAGAATTTGTGGATAGGCTTTTTATAGGTCTTATAAGAATTTTTTAAGAGTTTGACATCAAGAAAATTAACAATTTTTCAGTTAATGTTTATTTTAATGAAGACCTTTTCAATTTTTTTATTTTATATTTTAGAAAAACAATTTATAACGTCAGTAGTATTTTTTCACTGACGCTAATTTAATTTTTTTAATAATAATCTTATTAATTTTTTAGTTTTTTTTTAAATTAAAAATGAAACCTTTATGTTAAAATTTTTGTGGCAACCTGATGACGACCAAAAATAGTTTAAGGTCAGCAATAAATTGCCGATACTATTTTTATAATTCTGACAGCTGTAATATCATTAATATCATTTAATCTAATATTATAACTATAACAATCAAGCAGTT